ATTTTATAATGTTATTGATTTTTGTTTTTCATACTGTTCATGAGAATGATTTTGTTCCCTATTTTTCAAATGATGTGTTATTATGTCCAGCTCTTTGGCTGAGCCACAAAGCTCACACAGAAATATGAAATAAATAATATTCTTATTAACTTCCAAAACACCTTCACAAGGTACAGGGATAAGGCTACACATACATCACCCTTCCCAGACCCCACTCGTGGGATTACACTGGGTATGTTGTTGTTGTATTTACTTCCCAAATAGTTTTGCATAAAATGCATTTTGGTGTGGAATTTGTTAAAAGCATGTAGATCTATCACAGAAAGCATGAGTTAAGAGTCCTGATTGGTGGGTGTTTGGAGTTGGAACCACCATTCGAACTTAGGATTTCCAAGACTGGAAGCACCCTACTTGTTAGACACATCACTTGCAGTTCACTCAGCTAGTTGTTTACTCACTTTGTCCTAATTTATGTGGCACTGTTTGACTAAGCATGAAGTTTGAAAAAGAAAGGAAGACTTCTGAATTTTGAAATTTGTGGTCTAAATCAGTCCTTTAGGCATTGTGCGGCTATAAATCATTTCAGTAAGGGTAAACAAGGAATTAAGGTTAAGTTATATCTAATAATAGAAAAGTAATATTCTTTTCGGGACAAACTAAAAAGGAACGCGACTATGTTCATGGACTTTGGTATGGGCATGGGAGGTATGTATCAACTATCAGGTACAGGGCTTGTAAGTATCATTAAGGACATTTCCAGTGTGTAGCAAGCTGTTTTAGTATAACTTTTAAGGTTCTGTCCAATATATTCACACCCACCTCATACTAATTTAATAAGGTTACCTCAAGACAAATGGATAGTCCACGTTCACCGTAATTATTGGAAATATATGTGACTTTCTGTAAACTACTCTTGAACTTCTGAGATGTCTATGACTACATGCATATAATTTGCAGAGTTTCCCTTTAACTTACCAAAGAATTTTGATACGGATAGTAACCTTTCTGACTTGTTTCTTATTTGCCAAAATACTGATATAGACTGCTCCCCATGCTACGGTTGAAGTTGAGATCTCGGAGGATATGCAGTTGGTCCACTTTGACTTCAACAGGTACGTGAACATCTTCAAAGGCCAACTGATATATATCATTTGGCATGTGATTAAAATTTTGTATACAGTAAGAATTTGTTGTCATCCTCATAGGGACGATAATAGATTCTCCCCACAAAAGAAAGCAGCTCTTTATCATGCAACCTGTTTTTGCGTTGTGCTAATTGGATTAGAGTTGCAGAAAGCCGATTGATATCAGAAGATTAAGATACTTCGTAGGTTGCGTAGGGTAGATCTCGTGGGAGGGGTGGTGGATAGTAGTGAATCTTCACCTTCAATTTTAGTTTGAACTTTTCAATAGTAAAAAATAAAGGCAGCCTGGTGCATAAAGCATCATGCTTAAGCAAGGTCTAGGGAAGGGTCGTACCCCAATGGATGTGATGTAGACAACCTACCCTAGTGCAAGCATTAGTGACTACTTCCACGACTCAAACCCGTGACCTATAGGTCACACGGAAACAGCTTTTTCCCGTTGCTCCAAGGCTTCCCAGCAGATTTTAACTTTTCAATATTTAGTCGATCCCTGCTGGTTGTGGAGGTCTATATTGGAACCTCAAAATCTTATGTCACATGGAAACCTATTGAAGATCATGTCCATGATCTTTGACGTTAAGTATAAATAGCAAGTTGGAATTTCAAAAACCTACCAAAGGAGGAGTTCAAATCTGGAGAAAGATGATAATGAGAGGAGAAAGGGGATGAATCACTTATGTTTCTCGGACTCTTCAAAAATGTCAACGAGTGCGTCTCGGAATCTCCAAAAGTAGTGTATTTTTGGAGAATCCGACACGGATGCTGCGTCAAAAGTGAAGAGTTCGAGCAACTTAGTGAATCACCACAACTTGACAATTTATGCAAAAAACCATGTATCCTCTTCCGTCCCAATTTAGGTATCTCCTCTGGTTTGAATTCGATTAACAATGTAAGAGATATATTTTATGATTTTAGATGAAAGTGGATCCAAAAATGAAGGTAATTTTGACTTTTTGAAGAATTTAAACATTGTTTAGGAACTATTAGAACCATGAAAAGTATGGAGAAGTGTTAATAGAGAGAATTACGGGACAATCCAAGACGAAAATAGTACCATTACATTCTTTTTCCTCAAGTCAAATCTTAGTTTCCCGACCATAAGTAGTTAGGATTTGCCTATCGTTATCATCATCATCATCATCGTGAAGAATAAAAAAATTTCTGTTCAATATTTCTGCATTATCTGTTGTAGAAATGCAGATTCAATTTACCAGCATTTTCTTTTTCGAGTTCTTTCTAAACATGACTTCTCTTGTTGATACTTTGGCAGCGTCCCTTTCTCTTTGCACGATGATGCTTATGTCCTAAAACTGATGCGCAACTATGAGCTCTTGGAGAGTGAAAGTGTATCTCAAACATCCTAAACACACTCATCGAGTCATCGTGTAGCTAGTCCTGATGTCGCTTCAGGAGGCAACTGATCATTTTACTGGAACTCTGGAACTGACATATCTCGAATGATACTTTGTCAATCGACGTAGAGACTCCAGAACTCGTCACGGAGTATTTGTACCTAACAGGATACATAGTCATACATGGCATTTACACAACTTATGTAGAAGTTAAAGAGCTGGTATTCATCTTTGTTGTATTTTGCAAACATCTAAATAAGCTGACACCATGCCTTTGTTAGTTTTCTGGAAAATGGTGGTATAAGATTTTGGTGAATAGAAATGTTCTTATTGTATCTTATGTTTTCTTTTGGGCACATCGACTGCTGCTTAAATTTGTCATTAAATTTTATTTAGACCTTTGGATTATGGGTTGTTCCAATTGAGTACCTAAATACACTATAAGTGTTCTTATTAAAAACTTTCAGCTCAGGTTTTTAGCGGTAATTAATTAACGACAATAGCTTAATTGCACTAAATATGTACTTTTTAAGGCAATTAACACTCTTGTACATGTCTCTAAATCCTATAGCGACATTAGATCCAATGATAATTAACTAATACCGATAAAAGTTTTAGTTCTCTTTATTAATATACATATTTATTGCCACTAAAAGTTGTTCTCTCAGGAAAATAAAAAAGTAAATACAAAATTCATAAGACAAGAACTGAATTTCTTTTTCTTTTTCTTTTTTTTTTCTTAAAAGAAGTTTCTGAATTAATAGTGTTTTTTGTTTACCACACTGCTAAGTTGCTTAGCCCAAGAGACCTTTGAAAATTATATAATGTGTTGTAACACTTAACTTATCACACTGTCTGATTCTTTTTCACCTTTTTAGAATGTGAAAGTGGGCTCCTTCTCTCTATTATATTCATTTTTTATTATCCAATATCGGTAGGTAAAGCTTACAATTTTAATTATTTATTAATTAAAATATACTGCCATGCACAGCAGTAAGGGGGTAGGGTTGGGGGTGGGGTAGAGGAAAGCACATCTGAGAATGTTTGTCTATAATTAATAAGGACCTTTTCTTTAATTAATTAATTCTTAATTTGGCTTTATTACTTTTATTAGTATTATTTTATATATCTTAAAAACTTACACTATGTTACTCATCTTATATGTAATATAGTCTATGCATGTAAATGATTGAATTGTACATTTATTGTTATTATAGTTACTGGTTCGAGCAGTACGCTCCTCGGTCCTATTTAGTGGCAGAGCTTATGTTATGAACGAAGATTAATGAATTACGTTTGTTAAAAAATTATACGGTATAAAAAAAAGATATTGAGTTCCTCGATAGAATTTTGTTAGAATGTTGACTTTGTTACTATCCTAAACCCTACTTTTTTAAGAGCACTTTGTGATTTGTGTGTATATATTTGATGTTAATATTGTATTTGATGTCCTTAATTTGGATTAGAAATTAGTCAATTGACTAATACAGTAAAGTTATATAGCACTAGTATTATATAAGTACCTATTTATAGCTAGTTATTAATTGAGTAAAAATTCATGCAAAAATAAATTGTAGTATTAATATCATGAATATAAGTTAATAAAAACTAGAAATTAAAAGTGCATGTTATTTAACAAAAAATTATAAAGTGTTAGGGACACATTTAACTAAATCTCTCTACATATATATCTTGTTCCAAACATGTATCCCATAATAACACTACTTTACCCTGCATGCAACATGATAGATATGACAGCCACCACATTATATATAGGAGCGGAGTCGGACTTAAAGTTATGAATTTTTAACATAATATAATAATTTTAGTTCAAATTTTATATTTATATTCAATTTGTTATTTAACATATATAAATAATTCATCCAAATATCTTGGAAGCCAACATTTTTTTTTTGACTCAATACACATAAACTAAAAAAATCCAAGCCCCGTCCCCCCTTCCCTTACCCCCTCTTTGTCCTAAAGCTACGAGTTCAACATAATACAATAATTTTAATTGAAACTCTAAAATTATATTATAATTTTTATTATATATATATAAATAATTCATCCAAATATCTCGTAAGCAAAGCTAGAAAATCCAAGCCCCCCTCCCCTCTCTATATATAACAAAGTTATCTCTGTGTGATCTATAGGTCACAGTTACCGTGAAAACAATTACTCATATTTGCACCTCTTGGAATAATATAACCCTAATTTCCTAAACTCTGTTTACATAAAATATTTTGTGTATCAAATTGCCTCACTAACCAAAGTGGGGTGGGTGGGTGGGGGGTTGCAACTCAACAAGTTTAATTTAATATAATAAGAAGCTTAAAGGTTAAGAAAGTAAAGATATTACTAGTACTCTACTCTCTCGAACTACTAAAAAGTAACAAAAATACAAAAAATGGGACATAATAGTAAGAACAAATTTATAGGTTATAATGTGTAGTAGTATATATATGCTACTAAAGCCTTTCACTTTATTTTGAGCTCCATTATTATTCTCATCAAAAATATTCCTCTCTACTTTCCTTCTATCTTTCTTCCTTTCCCTTTGCCAAAATTGAATACTACTACTACATCTTCAATTTTTTTATGTGATTCTCCACTAACAAAAAACTTTATAAAAGAGAATTTTTATAGATCATATTCAAGAATTTTGCTATGAATTTTTCTTCAATTCCAGCTTATCTTGATCCAGCCAACTGGCAACAAGTATGTATTTAATTTTTTTTTATGCTTTTATCAAGTGTTTCTTTGGCAAAAAAGCATTAAAGAAAATATTCCTCACTTTTTTTGTAATTATTTTTAAAAATTCTTCCTTTTTTTCTCATCTTTAAATTTCTTGCATATACTTAGATATATAATTATTCTCATTTTTTTTTTGTTTTCAGCAAAGTGGAAGTACTATCCAAAATCATCATCATCAACAACAACAACTTACATCTGCACCACCGCCGCCAGTACTACCACCTTCTCCAGTAGTAGTACCACTGCAGCCTCATGGCGGCGGTGGTGCAGGTTCTATTAGACCGGGCTCGATGGCTGATCGAGCCCGGATGGCTAACATACCTATGCCTGAAACAGCCTTAAAATGCCCTAGATGTGATTCAGCAAACACTAAGTTTTGTTACTTCAACAACTATAGTCTCTCACAGCCTAGACACTTTTGCAAGGCTTGTAAAAGGTAATAATAATAATAATTATTATTATTTATTATGAAGAAAAATATATGTATTAGCTAGACGAACTAAAATATATTATTTTAGTTTTTATGAGAAAATGATTGATTGAGAGTACTTCTCCTCGATATTTTCCAAAATATTTCTAACAGGTATTGGACTAGAGGTGGCGCTTTGAGAAGTGTACCCGTGGGTGGAGGATGCAGGAGGAACAAAAGAAGCAATAACAACAACAAGAACAGTAACAACAACAACAACAATAATAGTTCTAAATCTCCGGCTTCTAGTACTAGTACTGATGGTCGTCAAGGTACTAACAACTCGGGTTCTTCAACTACAATTTCATCTCATAGTAACAGTTTTTCGGGTCCAGCATCAGCAACTAGTTTGTTAGGGCTTATGAGTCCTCAAATTCCGCCTCTTCGTTTCATGTCTCCTTTAGGTCAATTTAGTTCTGATCATCATCACCACCACCATTTTACTCCGAGTAACCATATGAACTTGAATTTTTCTACAAGTTCATGTGGTAACATATTAGGTGGGACCACTGAAGGCATGATGGTTAATAACAACAATATGCTTGGTGCTGGTGCTGGTGCTGGTGTTGGGGTTGGGGGTCATGTTGCTTCGCTTTTATCAAGTGGAAACCTTGAACATTGGAAGATGCAACAACAATTCCCTAATTTCTTAGGTGGATTTGATCCATCTAATTCGCCTTCTTCTTACCCCTTTCAAGGGGGGGTGCACGAGGCAGTACAATACCTTGGTGGTGAGAGTACGAGTCAAATTAGTAGGCCAAAAATCTCAACTTCAATGCTAAATCAAATGGCTTCGGTGAAGATGGAAGACAACAACAACAACAGCAACAATAACAACAATAATAATAATCAAGATCAATCATCTTTATCAAGGCAATTGTTGGGGATTCAAGGAAATAATGAAAATTGGAATACTAGTGCTAATGCTTGGAGTGATCTTTCAGCTAGTTTTAGCTCTTCTTCCCCTAGTAATGCCTTATAATTATTGAAATTCGAGCCAAATCTTATACTAATCTTCTTTTATCACTCAGCGGTCATTCAGAGGTCTTAGCTGGTAATATGAATTGACTCACTAGTCGAAATGTTTTATCAACAAAAGCATCTAGTGAACATGGAATTAACTCGAACAATGGGAACAAAAGAATATCAATCGATCATCTGAAAACCCTAGATTTGGTAGTTCTTTTTTTTTCCAAGTGTTTTATTTAGATTTATTTGTAGTTTGTATTGTAATGTGTTAGAACATGTTTGGAGTGAACTTTTTTTTGAGTTTTTTTTTTTTTTTGGTAGCTTTTGTGTAGACATGAAGGTCTAATTTTCAATGTAATTTGGTTCTAGGTGTTGGGCTGTAAAGATGATCATATGGCTAACATTTCTAATGGTATATCTTCATGTTTGAAATTTTATGGAGTTTTTGTATTTTCAATATTATGTGTATATTTCATATGGTGATATATTGTTTAATTTCTTCCTAATTCTCTCATTATTACTACAACATTTTCTTCTTGGATTTATTATTGCTTGGTTTAATCCAAGTTAATTTATCCAAATTATGAATCTCTTGATGAGGATTTAGATATTCATAAATGTTTATTAGCTAGAAATGAATTAATTATCCATGATATGATAAAGCAATGTTGTTCAAATATTTACATGATTAAAAAAAATCTCACTTGGTAATTAAATTTGGATTAAACTTAATTAAGAAATGGATGTCATGATCAACCAATTTGGATGTTGTAATTTTCCCACTTTAATTTTCAAGCTGCAACTTAAAATATAGCTTTATAATGGTAATAATATAAGGTTTAATTAATTACCTGCCTTGTTTTTAGGGGTTATTATTGCCACAAATTACGGGGAGCTATATGTAATTATCATGATATAATTGAATAAACATTCTTTTATACATGTTAATCAGTATATATTAAATCTCTTTATCGTGGTTGTGTTTGTCTGAAAGTTTAATGACTACTGTAAGGATACGTATATTGATATTTGATGTTTAGATTTTATTTAATCATTTTAGACAAAAATATGCAAAAATTTAGAAAGAATATGAATGTAAAAAAAAAGCAAATATCATTAACCTTTCCTCATGAATTATGATCATAACTGATGTGCACCATTTGAATATAATTTTTTCCCTTTAAGATATAATTATACTTGAAACTTAGTATGTACATAACAATACATTTTCAAGATGACTAATTATAAGATAATTTATTATGTGGTTTTACCTCAACGAATAAACTCATCATAAAATTAATTCTGAAATTAGTTATCCCTTATTTACCGTGTCAAATGAGCCCTCAATATCAAATAACTATAAAGTTAATTTCATAAAAATATACCTCTAATTAAATATTTTAAAAGTAATTTTTTTAGTCAATGTATATAAACCAAATAATATAAAACGAAGAAAATATTAACTTAAAGTTAATGTAAAAATCGACATAATTCAAATTCTGAATCCGTATCTATTACAGTAAATTAGTAGTATTACTATTGCCAAAAACGTGTCGGTGTGTAAGCTATTGGCACTTCATGATATGATTAAGATTCTTAAATATTATTATTCTGTTTGATTGGTGCATGCTGTCACTTCATTTTTATTCTGGTATTTTATTATTATTATTATTATTATTATTATTATTATATACTACTATATATTATATGTTTTTTAATGGATGTAAGATATGAGCTGAAATGGAAAGGAAAAAAAAAAGAATTCTAAGAAGCAACTTTCTAGAGATTCAGTTGCTTCCAGCTATATATACTAGATAATTTATACTTTCTTTGTCGTAATTTATATGATATTATTTAATTTAATGTGATGTTTAAAAAATAAATATTTTTGATATTTGTGATTTAAAATAAGTGTATTAAAATCATTTTGTAAAATATAAAATGAATATTTCAAAAATAAATTATTACTAAAAAAGAAAATATATTACGTAAATTGAGACTGAGAATATATGTTTTGTAGTTCTCGATCATTCTACTTAAATTGCTCCAGATCTAATCCACGTGCTTAATATCTAAATATTTCATGAGTGTTGTGATAAGAGAAAATAAAATCTGGAATATTCAATCTATTAAGCAAAAATATCTTGTTGAAAGCGTTATTCTGAATGGGTTTTATAATGCACAATTCAAATTTAATCGAAGCTTCAATATAAACTCTGAACCCCCAAATGAAAAAAAATAATCTATTCTACTAAAACCTTGAGAAAGAAATCAACCACCAAGAATAATATAAGAGACCTGTCATAACAAATAATTAATATTCTTTTTTTTTTGTTTATTGCAAACTAATTGTTACCGTATTGTAATTAAGTATTCCGTAGGACTTCAGGCATTTTTAACTTGAGATTGATGTGTATAATTAAATGAGATAACATATTTAATGTGGTTAACTTAACTATCTAATAGACGAATGAAAAATACACACAAAAGTATTAGCCGAAATACTTTATTAGGACTTAAAATGTTCAGTTAGAATTTATTTTTGTTCGAGCGTCTAAATAAAATACTAACATTTAACTAACTATATCTATATGTTAAAGCTTATATATATATATATATATATATATTAAATTACATTTTCACTTCTATTTGGCAACACATAAAGCTAGTTTAGGCTATCACTTTATATAGGAAAATCTACCTAGAACATGGTAATTATAATTTATATGATCATTGTCCCCCATAAATTTATATGCAATAACTCAATCATTTGCCATATATAATTCCCATAATGATAACTGAAACATGAAGACAGTCAACCCAATGTAAAAAAAAAAGATTCTTGGGGATTGAGTAAATGATTCCATACTAATAATAATAAAAAATAAAAATAGAGTAATACTTTTCCTCTGTTTAACAATATTGCTCCACTATCGACTTTACATACTTCGTAAGAAATTATAAATAGAAAAGTAATTATATAATATCATCATTTGAATATAATAAATACAATATCTTTGAAAATATAATAGAAAAATGATTATAATTAACGATAAAGATACATTAAAAACTAAGTGCTTTATTAAATATTTTAAAATAATATAATGAACAACTATTATTAAACGGAAAAAGAAAAAGTAATAATTGAGAGAATTTATGGTAATAAAGCAATGATGAGAGGATAGTCAAAGAAGGTAAGACAAATACTGGGACAACAACATTTTTATTAAAAGACTCGAAATCCAAAAATATGCCCACAACACTAAAATCCTTCTATTCCCAAACTCCGAGGTTCTGTTATGTTATAACGTAATTCGATCAAACTCAATAATTTTAATATTTTATTAAAAGAAAAGTATTGAAACATTTTTGAACTTAACGTAAATTATTAGTTGATCGTTCCCAAATTATTAACAGTCTTAAAAATACCTCACTACTTAATTAACTAAACTTAAATACACCATCTATTTGTCACATGACATAACAAGTCGTCTCAAACTCTTGTAGGAGCATACAACTCTTAATAAAAAGTCGAGAGAAACGTTAAAAATGCCCCTAAAACTTGGTGAGAATTTAGGGGTGTATTTCACTCATGTTACAAGATCAGGGGTGTATTTAATTAAGTTCGGTTAGTTCAGTAAATAAGTGTTTTTAAGGTTGTCAATAGGTCAAAAATAAAATAAATATATTTTGAGGTGTTTTCAATAATTTCCTCTTTATTAATAAATTTACTAAATATATATTAGATAGAAGGATTAGAATTATTACATCCACTTTTTGAGAATTAAACTATATAAATTTCGATCAATATTTTAATATGTAATTGATAGATTAAAAGACTTGTTGAATTCTGTACCGAATTTACCCCCAAGAATCACACTAGAATTTGAAAATAAAGATGAGGGAAATCAGTCAAAGAGAACAAAAGAACACTACTCTAAAAGACTGGAACAAACGGTATTATATAGTGTACGTGAATTCATAATCTTTCTGTTAATATTATTAGTTGATATTCATGCTTTTAAAACATAATTAATGCTTCTTTTTTTTTTTTTAATATTACACTCATATTATAGAAATTCTAGATCGTATACGAAATTTATATTGTTGCACGTTATTCTAGGAAGAAATAATAGTACTATATATGTACCAAGTGTTGTTCTAGTTCTTTCTAGTAATTAGATCTTCTCTTCTTGATTTTGACAAACTGGTCTAAAACTGGTATTGTTTTATCATGCTTCTGACAAAGAAAATATAATTCAGGGAGACCATATCTTAATAACCAAATAGAAAAAATTACAAAAGAGAAATGACATATACATGCAGATTATATTCCTTTAATTTTTTATACTAGCTTTTTATCATAATTAATTGACACGAATTATTAGTTTTATCTTTAAATTATTGACAATTTTAAAAACACCATTTTATTTGATTAAGTAAACTTAAATACACCTTCAATCTTGCAACATGACTGAAATATACCCCTAGATTCTCCTCAAATTTAGAGGTGCATGTTTTCAGCACTTCTCTCGTCTTTTTTATTGAGTCGATGCTCATTCAAGAGTTCAAAATCAATTACTATGTCATGTAGCAAATTTGGAATGTGTCTAAGATTAGTTAGTCAAGTACAAGAATATTTTTAAAGCTATCAATAATTTAAAAAATAAAACTAATAATTTACGTCAAATTCAAAGATATTTTCAAAGATATATATATATGGATTTAACTTATATTCTAATTTCTTTATAACAATCTTCCTTTTGTAAAAATATTTTACTAATCTTATTAAAGTAACGAGATAACAAAGATGACAAATCTTTACTAATTAACAAGCATGATAAAAATAAAAACTAGAGAAAACAAGATTATATTTTATGATAATCACAGAATTTAACTAAAATAATTTGGATACAAAGCAAATTACAATTTACAATCACGAAGTTTTGTTACTATATATTAACCATGTTAAAACAAAAATAAAGTAGTCACAAACTGGATCACATTAAAAACATTAAATAAATAAAAACAGGTACATTAATGTGTTACAATAACAAATATAAATAAATAAATAACTTTGTCGTATACCAAATTCTGCAAGCACTGTACCGTGTGTAGTGTTCTCTTAAAAAAGTGAAATCGTCAAAGAGAAGCTAGGAATCTTATTGGTACTTTTTGTGACAGTGCCAGTGTTACGAGGTCCACGTTAGGCTAAAATGCTTCTTAATAATAATGATTTTGTATCCATTAAAATTGTAGTTCGAGATCTTTAGTTAAGAATGAATTAGGGGTGATATATTTATCAGATATATATCACTTCATAATAATTCTTATTTGTGGTGCGATTTTATATATATATTTATTATGAGTTTAATTATTTATGGTTAAGTCCAATAATTACGGATGAAACTATAGTGGCTTTAACATGAGGC